CAATATAATAAAAACAGGAGATTATTAATTCGCTAACCCAAGCCAATAAATAAAAAAAAACTAGTATTTATGAATGTTTACACTGTCTATAAGTGTCTATAAATATGTGACTATAATGGTCTTCGTATGACGTTTGCATACCTCAAAAGTAATTAGTTGGTTCACCTTGATGCACCTGTAACATGGCAATCAAATATGAGATAACTTAAAAAATAATGAAATAAAAAGAGCCAAAAGCATTACCAAGCTCACGAAATGCTGTACATACATATACACATACATAGATACATATGTAAGTATCAGCAGCAAATTCACAGCTGTATAATTTATAGAATTATTATGATGACGAGTAATGCAATTTATGATATTTCCTTTTTTGGTTTGTTTGTTGTGTGTGTTTTTTTAATTTGCTGCGGAAGTTGAATGTCGACTCTCATCAAATATTTTGGCCAACTATGTATGTGTGTGCAAGTATGCACCCAAATACCAACTATTCATAATTAAATTTTTTTACAAACGTACAAAATTGATGGTCTTGGTATTCATTTTTGAGAGTTTTTATAACTTTTGAAGATGTGCAGGTGATAACAGTGGTTTTAAAAACGATTCGGTTACTAACCGAAAAGTTGGTTTAACCCGTTTGTTACTTTACCACTTAAACAATTTAACCCTTTGACGACCGTTGTTACTCTTTGCTTGCCGTCATCAAGTTTACGAAGTTGTGCTCAAAAGTGTATTTATATCAAAGATCCAAGAAGACGCTACTAGTCTCGATATTCTACTATTTAAAAATTTTAAGGTTACCTGGAAGAATATTAAACGTATTGCTATCGAGCCCTACGCTAATTTTACCAAACAACATTTCTGAGACGCGAACATTAATGATTTGGTGAGGTTTTTTAACAACGAACTGGGAAAATCGATTGTACGAGATGACTATCGAGAACTTATTGAACTCGCCATCATTTTTTTTTTAGGAGGAGATTCTGAAAATAAAATTAAAACCAGACCTCAAGGCGCAATGCAGCAAGCAAGGTGAATGGCAGGAGCTATTTACTCTTTGAAGATATGTTTGCTGCAGTCTCAGTTTAAAATGAACTTCAAGGACGAACAAGCACTTAAAGATGTTTGTTTATTCATAGACAGTTTATGCCCTGGCTTTTGAATGCAGTTTAGCAACGAAAGCGCCGAATCAAGATTTACGTTTTTAAAGACCCTGAAAGGTTACGAAAGGGTTGACAATTTGATTTCCAAAGGCGCTTTGAGCGAACAATTTTGACGACGAAGTTGATAAACAAACCAAGCGGAACATTATGACAAACTTGCAAAGAGAAAGCTTTGGTGATTTTGGAAAGAGATATGTTCCATCGAAGGATGAGATGTCGGTCTTGTTATTTGGTAAGTGGTAATTAATCTGTTATTTTAAACATTTCTTATTTAATTTAATTAACAAAAAAAGAAGTTTTTGAGCCTAAAAGCAGTTAATGACACAGCCGAAAGAGCTTTTAAACTAATGTAAGACTTTTATGGTTTAATAACCGCAGACGAAGAACAAACGCATTTCCTATTACGCTGTGTGCAAGAACATAGAAAGTTTTATCCAGATTGTAAAATAGACTTTAAAACAGAAAATGTCCTAAATAATCCTCTTTTAGATTAGAGAAAGCCATTGCCTAAATTTATATTTTCATCAATATTAAACAAAAATATGAATATTTGCATTGATCTAGCTACTAGATGTAGAAAAAAAAATTTTTTAATTTTGAGCCCTTGTCGGCACGGGTTAAAATATACATAGAAAGGTGAAATTTTATATTCGAGCACAGGTTAGTATACTTAACAGAATTAAAGGGTATGCGTTTTGATAATTACTAAACAAACAATTTCGTCCATAAAAGGGCACCCTACTCTATATATATACTTCCACAAAATATTAGCAAGTCCGAGCTGGTTTGAATTGTCATAAAATTGTCGCACAGTGTTATATTTAGCATCTATTACTTTATAGACAACAGCGCTGACAGCTTCAACTGTTGCTGCAACTATGTATCTTCTAGGGCTGCGCAAGCGCATACATATTTGTACATGCACACGTACATATATGTATATGTATATACCCAACCTCAGGAGAGTTTCCATAAAGGCTTCAGTTCAAAATCAATGATCAATTTAGCTACTATTTGATAGCTTTAGTACAAAATTTTAGAAATAACTTGGTGACAAAAATTTCCACTGAAATTTGGCAATGCATGCGAGTGATGTTGCAAGAAAATTTGCTGACATGGAGAACCTATTTGTAGTTTGGCAACCATGAATGTCGCCCACTACATAAAGCGTAATTTATTGTGATGGCACTTAATGTTCAAACATCATAACTCAATCACAAGTTTTGATTGATGAAGTACCTTAATAAACATTAAAACTTCACACTTAGGCATCAAGGTAATTTATATTTGTATATTAGGATGCCTCACCAAAAAAAGTTGCCGTTGAAAAAATGTGTGCAGGCCTTCAAAGCTTTAAACTCTTCTATCAATCGTGGTGATTTGTTGGATAAAACTATCTCTTTAAACTAATTTTGTTTATGCAATGACAGAATATTTTTTTAATTTTTCATGAGAACCGAAACCGGTTGGCCTCTAACCCAAACTTGACAAGGGATGACGGAAATTTGTTCCAAAATAAGTCAACTTCGCGGAATGTCGAAAAAATTAACCAACTAATACGAGATACATAACCCTCCATTCTTTAGTAAGTATCTCTAAAATTTTTAGCAAGCATATCAAATTGACTAAAATGCAGTAGGCTACGATAACTTTCTTAAGTTTTATAGTCAGCTTTAAAGTCAAAAGACAATTTAGCGGTTGTCATTAAACAATTTTTTTTTTAATTTTCCAATATTTTGAACAGTGTAGTAAATGCTAATTTAAAATCAGTTACTTTTTCATATAAATTTCTTATTTATTAAAAGTTAGGCGAAAATAAGTTGGCCAAAAGTTGGCGATTTTAATAGTCGACTACGAAATTAAAGAAAAATCAAGCTCGACGAAAGACGAGATCTGGTTAAATTTATAAAGAGCGCGGGCAGTTGCTGCATTTCGCGTAACTAAACTCTTTTCTCAGTGTACGTAATTTGATAACTGCTAATAAGAGTTCACCATATAATATTTTTGAACAGTCTATATAAAAGCAACTAGAATCCAAAATAATATTCACACCGTAAATCACTGGAAAGGATGAGAAATTATGCCACTAATTGCTAACAAAAGTGTTTTCCTCTTCACACATGCCAGGCAAAGAGGTGATCACCTCATAACTTGTTAAGGAATTCATAACAGCCATTTAAGATCAATTGTTTTCGCCTACAAACATACATGCATACACACATTTGCACATAAATAATTACCTACACACGAGTAAGTATGTAAGTGCGCTAAGGTGGACCAAAAATGCAATTGAAAAAGAATTAGTCGGGATTTGAATGCTCTCATCCGCTATCTATACCAGAAAAACTGTACCCTGTTTAGAGGTCGCTCAAAGCGCTCAAATTTTTCCATATATTTTGTATGGGGAAAAATGAATTTTTCGTGCAGATGGTATAGAATTCTTGAAAATCAATATTTTTCGGTACGAAAACTTTGCTTCTCTTCAGGAGACTTTGGGCATTAATACTCAATTGTTTATTTAACCATTTGTAATATTCTTTAATTTTTACAGGACCCCCAAAAACGCCAAAAATTGCAATGGAAAAAATGCAAAAAAAATTTAAAATAAATAATTCGTTATTATTATTGGAAGTCTCCTGAAGAGAAAACGAGTTTCATGGTCGAAAAATATTTATTTTCATGAAATTGAAATTGTTTTTTTTTTCTATATAAAATACATGGAAAACTTTCAGTACTTTGAACGACCTTTAAATATTTTTTGATTTAAAAAAAAAAACAGAGGTATACTATTTTTCGGTATAGAGAAATCATAGGGGGTGAGAGCGTTAGAATTCCGACTTTACTGCTATTTGGACCACCCTAATGTGCGCACTTCAATAGCGCCTCTGAAGGTGTGTAAATAAGTTTTGTTTGAACTTAGGTGTAGCATTGAATGGAGCCACTTACATAGATGCGCATCAGCAGCGTTATAAGCGGCAAGGCGAATTCGAGTCCATACATACATACATACATACATAGATAGCTCAATTGTCAAATGATAATCAGCAGCAGCAACAGCAGGCAGAGTGAAGCTCAAAACGTCAGCGCATTTAATGGGTTTGTGATGTATTGCGGTTAATGACCGCAACGGGTACACACACATACACTTGTACACCCACCCTCATGCACACACACACACAGCACACACACATATGCGGATGTAAATCACAAAAACTCAGATAATCGGTTAAATTACATAATTTGCGCTTCATTATTTGGCAGTCATATGTACATATGTATGTATGTATGTATTTAGGTAAAATATATTTTGTTGTAGGTCAGCCACAAATGTTTTACAGATGGTCAAAAATGTACTTGGGTTTTTTCTTTTTTTGTTTACTTTGTTGGATGCTGCAATGCGCTCGCGTGTGGATTTGAACTTATAATCGCAGTTTCATTTAAGATTATCACATTAAATTGTACTTGCGTATGTATGTATGTATGTGCATATTGTCTGCAAGTGCGCACAAAAAAAAAAATAACGCTGACAATAAACCTCAATTTACTCCCCTACTTTTGTTAAGTCTACTTATTGTTGTTGCTTACTACAACGCCTCGTACGTACTTATAAGTTTCTTAACTTTTGTTTGCCTAAGTACAAATAAATGTACATACGAGTATTTGCCCAACGAGCGCAATGCATAGCTCGCACTTTGCACATACATATGTATTTACTCGTACACAGGTATGTATGTGTGCGTACACCCATCAACAAATGCGTACTTGATTGGAATTTCTGAAACACATATTTACGTATAAATAGCCTTAGACATGGATAATTACACTGCATTAGTTAGCGAACGTAATTTGGTATAACAACAAGTGTGGTAGCGCAGCATCCGTAGTGAAGTAACTTAAAATTGCACACAAAAAAAAAGTACTGCAATATAAATTAAAAATTTAAAATGAATTATACATTGAGCATCCTGGCACTGTGTGGATTAATTGCGTTCGCCTTTGCAGCGCCTCTAGATGATTCAGAACACGCTCAGATTCTGCGCTACGATAACGAAAATATTGGTGATGGATATAAATTTGGGTGAGTTGGAAGGAGAAGCGTAATCGAAAGTGAATTTTTGTTTACAAAATTAGAGAGTGTGCGCGTGTAGTGGTGTCAAAACTATGGTTTCTCGAAATTAAAAATCAAAAATTTGTGTGAAGAATTTATATTTACTTGGAAGTAATGGAAGTGGGCAGGTATCAGTAAGGAATTTCGAAAGTAAAAAGTAGAACACCGAAAATGCAATGAAAATTTAGTAAGATGGCCTTATTTGGCGAGTTTCTGAGTTAACAAATTTCTACGAAAAACATCTGACTGGATTTTTAGCGATTTTTCAAGATGTTTCGAGAACTTTTGGTATTGGTTCGTGAATTTTCTGAACCTTTGGAATTTTTTTTTTTTTGGATTCCTCAATAATTTTTGGATTTTTTCAAGAATATCCCGAAATTTTCTGATTTTTTAAAGAACTTTTGGGATTTTTCGGAAAGAATTTTTTATCCTCCAGAAGTTTTCGAGATTTTTTTTATATTTTCTTAGACATTTCGAGGTCCTTCGTGGTTTCTTCCTGAATTTTCTGAACCTCTTCATAAAAAAATTCCAAAAAAAAAGGATTGAAAACAACTCAAATCAGGAAATGTATTTTTTGCCCTTAGTAAATCACATTCTTCAACTCAAACTATAATTTTTTTGGTGAGCTTCGGAGCAAAGCATTGTGCCAAATCCAGTGTCTTTGTTAGTTGTCATTTGCAAAATAAGTGCAACCACAACAAATTTCAAAATTACAAAAAAAAAATTGCGCCGTTACCAGGATTTGTAAAAACTTAAATAAAAAAAAATTGCAAAAATTCGACAAAATTTTGCATTGAAATCTAACAAATTTAACATATTTAGTATTTTTTAATTATTTCTATTCATTTCTATCCTTTCAGCTATGAGACCAGCGATGGTGTGGTACGCCAAGAGGAGGCTGAACTGAAAAATGTCGGCACCGAGCAGGAAGCGATTTCAGTACGTGGCTCGGTCAGTTGGGTGGCGCCTGATGGACAAACATACACATTAAATTATATTGCCGACGAGAACGGTTTCCAGCCACAGGGTGATCATTTGCCACATGTTTAGGAGCAGTTTACTAATTTTTGTTGAAGTAATATTTTTTATATGTACGCGTAGTTTTAGAGTAAACCAAAAGAAAAAAGAAAAAATTAAGAATTGTTGCATACATATGAACGAAACAGTATTAAATGGACTTACAGCAATTCATAAAAATTTGTTTTTTTTTAAATAGCTAAAAATTGATTGGCAAAATTGAAATAAAACCAAATTAAGGGAAATATTGAGTGAGACATTGAGGTTTGTTCAGTTAAATGCATTTTTTTTTATAACCAATGGTTTAATGAAAACTTTACTATACAAAAATAGCAAAAATTACGAACTAAGTATTGCTAAAAGGAGAATATGTATGTTTCGCCGTTCTCATGTTAGAATTTATTTAGTATCTCGGGTCCATGAAGTAAATTAATTCCGTAAAACTGGCGCGATGTAACTATTAAATGTTATAACGAAGCTTACCCTGAAAAGGTCACGAAATAAAAATGCGCAGCAACTGAGATGTAAATCGCAGAGATCCCAAAGTATTTCCTAGGCTATATTTGATGTAGTGAAATTTTCTTGGAAAATATACTTTTTATGGCTATTCCGAACCGTATATTAGACAAATAGGATTCAACCTCTTAAGAAAGTTTGAATGGAAACCGAATCGAAATAACATAGAAAATAAATCCTAAGTGCATCAAAGCTTTACAGTCCTTGGAAAGAATTATTTGGTGAGAGGTGTAGTTAGGTTATGTTAATTCAGGTGGAGTTCTAACCTTATGGGTTTACGTAGACATCACTTAGGGAACTGAAGTGTCTTTTAACTTCGTGAATGGAGTTCCTTAAGTATATGAGCCGCTAATAGCAAGGACCCAACCAGTTACGAGTTTTACATATGGCTGTAAGACTAAAACAAAGAAGAAAATAAAGTTGCGTATGTAGAAAAAGAAAGAGATAAATGCAGAGGTTAAAATAAAAGTAAAGAAATCTAAACATAACGACAAAAAGGAAGGTAAATTTAAATACTTAGTATAATAGCAAAGGTGTGGGTGAATATTTGGATAAAGAAACGAATACAGATAAAGTTCCGAATTAAAGTCAAGGAAGTGATAAATATAAAAATGAAAACATAGAAAAACGGCAGAGACAAAGAGAGATAAGAGGTAAAGGTAGAGACAAAAAAGAGAAAAAGAAAAAGATAAAATTTAAGAATAAAATGTTATGTTGTATTGTGTTGTGTTGTATTATATTGTGTTGTATGGTGTTGCTTTGTTTTGTGTTGTGTTGTGTGGTGTTGTATTTTATTGTTTTGTGTTGTGTTATGTTATGTTGTGTAATGTTAGGTTATGTTATGTGTTTTGACGATGTTGTGTTGTATTGTGTTGTATGGTGTTGCTTTGTTTAGTGTTGTGTTTTGTGGTGTTGTTTTATTGTTTTGTGTTGCGTTATTTTATGTTATGTTATGTTTTTTGGTGTTGTTGAGTTGCCTTGTGTTATGTTATGTTGTGTTGTGTTATATGATGCTATGTTAAGGTATGTTATGTTATGGTATGTTATGTTATGTTATGTTATGTTATGTCGTGTTGTGTTATATTATGTTATTTTATATAATTTTATGTTATAATGTATTGTGTTGAGTTGTGCTGTGTTGTGTTTTGTTGTGTTGTGTTGTCTTATGTTATGTTATGCTATGTTATATTCTGTCATGTTGTTCAACGCATTTCACCTCAATTCACTTCAATACTCAACTAAACTTAACTCGGCTCAGCTCAGCCCTCCTCAACCCACCTTAATTTAAAAGGTGGGATTTCAACCACTGGGCGAACACAAGTATATCTTGTTTTGCTTTCTCCGCAGCTTTCTTCATAGCTTGAAAGATACTTCTCTGATTAGGTAACTTTATTGGCATCCTTATGTTGAGTCCCTAGCGACCATGATTATATCTTAGGACTAGATCTCATCCACTGGACTTTTTTTTTAACATTCCGCCAAAGGGCCATAAAGTAGTTAGTGTCGTTCTGACGAATTCCGTGTATAATTAATTTTCCAGGGCAAGCGAAATACCCCAAGTTACGCCCAATATACATTTACACGTTACACATAGGGCGTAACTGGTCTTTCTATACTACTTACTACTAAAAACTTTATGTGGTTTAAAACAATTATAAAAAAGAATAAAATATGTGCTCTATCTATTTAGTTGAACAGAAGAATTGAACAGAAAAAATAACCTATAACCTCCATTTAACGCCCCTTATAACTTGGACTGTTTCTGTCTTACTTAATATGGACAACAGATTAAGGATTTAAGTATTAAAGTATTAAAAAATTTATTGAGAATAATATGTAGATCACGAAAGGCATCGTACACATTTGGATAGCGAAATATATGGAGAAATATTTCCATGTTTATATTCTAGTTGTATCGATACTAATAAATACGTGGATAAGCGCTTGATTTTTATTTTTAAGGATTCAAAAGAGGAAAAGCCAGAATTTTAAAAATCACGAAAAAGTTCTCGAAAAAGTCTCGAAAAAGTCCTAAAAATGCCCAAGGAAATCTCAGAACTTTTCCGTAATCAGATAGAAGTGCTCTTAGAGATAGATTTTATTAAGGAAGCACTAGGTTGGTTGCGCATTTTCGCGACGTCGTCTAGGAAAGTAAATACTTATGTAGTTAGGTAGCCAAGAGGCAAACACTGCCTTGCGCTCGCTCACGTTTAGTTGCCATGCCACGGTAATCCTGGGGAAACTGCGTTTCGGATGAGCAAACAACGCACTCTCAGTTGGGACAGAGGAAAGTCGACTGTATGTGAAGTACTCTACATCTGAAGAAAAAGGCTTCATGTCAACTCAGCGGAAGAGAAGGGTAGGAGATCTGCTTAGGCTCCGCTGAATTACGGCTTGATATTGTTTATCGAATGGTCTGATGGGTGATGCAGGTTAACGTAGGATCGGAGTGGAATTTTTGAATGTAGTAATCACAGTTTGATGCCGTAAATTATAATTGCCAAAGCCAATTTCGTGTCCTCCTCCAGCACTTTCCGCGGTTTAAATCCTATATTTTTCTATGGCAAACCTTCCAAATAAACTCCTTTCAAAATAAGAAATCTGCCTAAACCTTTCGCGCAACCTGCAATAGTCTAACAGAGAAGCACAACTAAATCTTGTCACAGCTCTTCTTGATTTATATATAAAAATAAATTTGTTGCAGCTTTGGCAAATGCGGATTTGAGGCAATAAACTAAGAGTACCAAAATATGTATTGTTTATTTGTATTTCACTTCTTTCAAGTGAATGTCGCTATGGTTAAGTAATAAATCACAATTCACTTAGAAGGTATTTTACAAATTACAGTTACTTATACAAAGTCAAGTCAACGATTTGTCAATAAAAATAAAAATAAAAAAAATCGAAAGAAATTTAACATGACACATTTTTACTGTTTTCGCTACAAAGAAATTAGCGACAGTGACTAAGAAATACGCCAACTCGAAATATATAAAAACAGCGGTATAAGCGTACAAGTTTTTTGAATATGCACACAACAATATACTCAGCTTTCTTACATATTGGAATTTGCGCTGGGACACTAATTAATATATTACGAATAGAACATGCAAAAATAAGTAATAATTAATTTTTGAAATGCTTTTGTTGAATAGAAGCCGGACGGAGAAATTTTGGTACATGCCAACACAAGACTTGCAAAGAAAACAAAAACGCGTGGGGAAATTACTTAAATTACTGTCAGAAAAAAAAACGCACTTAAGGCGAAGTGATGCGAACAAATAAATCACTTTTGGCCACAAACGTAGAAAAATTAAGCAAAAAAAAAAAAATGAGAAAAAAATATTATTGTGTTAATGTGTAATTAAAAGAGTTTTTGACAATTGGTAGATGATGGTGTGGCAGGAGTGGCGACGCAAAGCTTGGCCGCATTGTACATTTGTAGCTACACTTAACGGCCGGCCGTGCGGTCGGCTACGCAATAAATGTACGTACATTCATATATTTAGCTGCATTTTTTT